TCAAGGGTGCAGGTGTGCGTCTCTGTCCTTCCTCTCAGAGTCGATGCAGTCGTGGGTGCAGGTGTGCGTCCCTGTCCTTCCTCACTCTCAGGGGTGATGCTGTCAAGGGTGCAGGTGTGCGTCCCTGTCCTTCCTCACGGGGGTGATGCTGTCAAGGGTGCAGGTGTGCGTCCCTGTCCTTCCTCTCAGGGGTGATGCTGTCAAGGGTGCAGGTGTGCGTCCCTGTCCTTCCTCTCAGGGGTGATGCTGTCAAGGGTGCAGGTGTGCGTCCCTGTCCTTCCTCTCAGGGGTGATGCTGTCGCGGGTGCAGGTATGCGTCCCTGTCCTTCCTCTCAGGGGTGATGTTGTCAAGGGTGCAAGTGTGCGTCCCTGTCCTTCCTCTCAGGGGCGATGCTGTCAAGGGTGCAGGTGTGCGTCCCTGTCCTTCCTCACGGGGGTGATGCTGTTGACGGTGCAGGTGTGCGTCCCTGTCCTTCCTCTCAGGGGTGATGTTGTCAAGGGTGCAAGTGTGCGTCCCTGTCCTTCCTCTCAGGGGCGATGCTGTCAAGGGTGCAGGTGTGAGTCCCTGTCCTTCCTCTTGGGGGTGTTGCAGTCATGGGTGCAGGTGTGTGTCCCTGTCCTTCCTCTCAGGGGTGATGCTGTCAAGGGTGCAGGTGTGCGTCCCTGTCCTTCCTCTCGGGGGCGATGCTGTCAAGGGTGCAGGAGTGAGTCCCTGTCCTTCCTCACGGGGGCGATGCTCTCAAGGGTGCAGGAGTGAGTCCCTGTCCTTCCTCACGGGGGCGATGCTGTCAAGGGTGCAGGTGTGAGTCCCTGTCCTTCCTCACGGGGGTGATGCTGTTGAGGGTGCAGGTGCCCGTCCCTTTCCTTCCTCTTGGGGGTGACACTGTTGTGGGTGCAGGTGCCCATCCCTGTCCTTCCTCACGGGGGTGGCACTGGCATAGCGTGGGTGCACGTCCCTGTCCTTCCTCGTGAGCACCTCAGCGTCCTGCCGACCGTTGGGTCTGTGTGGCCTGCATTTACCTCTCGGACATTTCACTTGTCTCTGAGGGTGCCCAGGACATTCCTCTCCTCCAGAGCCTCATTTGTGCAGAGTAGGTGGTGATTTTCCAGGACTGGCATGATTCAATTTTGTGTTCAGAAGACGGGAGGAGCAGGCACCCACCCAGGCCCGGTCCTGCTTCCTAAATGTCGGGCTCCTCGGAAAAGGGGCTGGTTCCAGGCCCTGGCGGAGGAAATACAAGGTGAGCCTGAAGTACCTCGTGGGGCCTTGTGTGCTCATGGGAGGGCCTGGCAGCCAGAGGGCGCTGGGTCCACGTTGTGGCAGGTGGGCCAGAGAGTGCTGAGTCCACACTGGAGGGTGTTGAGTCCACGTTGCACATGCAGGCCAACGGGCGCCGAGTCCACACTGGAGGGCGCTGGGTTCACATTGTGGTGTGTGGGCCGGAGGGCACCAGTTCCAGACTGGAGGGCTCTGGGTCCACACTGTGGCGGACTCTGTGGCCAGGGCCAGGACTCTTTGAGCAACAGAGTACCTGTGGGCAGTATAGGGTGGTGGCCCTTGGAATAAATATATAAATCTATGAGTCCTTAATGTATTGAATAACACAAAGATAACAATTTCAATAAATGTGCAAGTGTGGGGAGTTCTTCCCTACAGAATTCCACACGATACACATGCAAGGCATGAGGAAAGAAAGCCACCGAGGAGCCCACAGCCACGTCTGCTGCCGCCAGGACCCCAGGGAGATGCCACGTTAGAGGGTTAGATTGAGGAGGAAAAGGATCTCGTCCCGCAGCATCTCCTCCAGTGTGTGTTCGTTATGAAGGGAAGAGAGTCACTTGGCGGGTTGAAACCCAGGAGACCACAGCGCCTGCAGGCGATAGGGGTGGCGTCAGTGGAAGGAAGCATCCCAGCAGGGTGTGAGCGCCAGCACCCATCTGCAGCTCTGCAGAGGTGAATGACCTCAGTGTCACCCGGAGAACACTGGCTCCAAGTTGCAGCAGTTCCAGAGAGTAACTGCCCCAAGCAATGTCACGGCCGTGGAGGACAAGGAAAATGGGAGGAAAGCGAGGCGCTGAGGGCGGATGGGACCGGATCAGAGCCTGCTGGATGAGGGTCACACAGCCAGGGCTAGGGTGGGGCAGAAACCCGAGTTCTCACTGTTGAAACAGCCTCCCTGAGCCTAGTTGGGCCTGGGGCTTCCATGTGGCCAAGCCCTGAGGGTCAGCCCAGGCAGGAGCCCCAGGCCCTGGGCTCCTGGTGGGATGCAAGTCCAGGACCTGCCTAGATGGTCTTCGGGGAAGCTCCTTAGGAGGGTGGAGGGTGTCGGGGCATCGGCAGGTGGCCTGGACCCCCCAGATCTGCATGGCCCTGGGAACCGCCCCTCCTGAGTCTGCAGGTCACTGCGGCGCCTGAGCAGGCGTGCAGGGGAATTGCAGAAATCCCAGAGGCCTTGGGTCTCTGTGGGCCCTGCACTCTGAGCTAACAGGGTGGTTCCTGGCATTCAGGTCGTGAGGCTGGGATCGCGTAAATCTCTTCCAAGAAGAGTGGCTTGTTTTGAGAAGGCAGAGCTTGTGACTCCCAGGGTGGCCTCTGCCGTGTCACTTGCCCCTGAGAACCCCCCGCCAGCCGTCACTCTGTGAACTTACAGCCAGCTGTCTTTAGACTGTTCCTGGCTTCTACTTCCATTTTAGAATGTTGATGACAGAGGCCATACACCGATATCAGAGATGTTCATTTCAAACATGAAATTTAACAGTGTTGGTGGAGAGCCACTGTTAATTAGGCTGTAAATGTCACTTATTTCAGGCACTGGATGGAACTCAGTGAAAATGCCCCTAACTTTCTTTTTTTAGGCACATTCTTACGTTGCTTGTAGCTCGGAAATCTGCCTCAGGAAGCCTTGAAAGACCATGACCTGGGCCAGGCTCAGTGCATTCCCGTCTGTACCCTGGCGTGCGCAGTGTTTCTCGGGATCAGCTGCCTTCCTTCAGCAAACGCTGTCATCCGCTGCTTGGCCTATGGGACCCTTCATAGCCAGGACTCATAAAGCCCCTGGGGTCTCAGTGATCGCACCATTTCAGTTCACGTTTTCCACTTAACTGGGAGTCGTCTCCCAGCAAAAGGAGCCTTTGTGCTCGTTCACTGGGAGCTGTGGGGGTGCAGAGACTCGGGAGAGCAGCCCCGAGTTCGTGATCGTGCTGTGTCCCGCTGGGGGTACAGAGACTCGGGAGAGCAGCCCCGAGTTCGTGATCCTGCTGTGTCCCGCTGGGGGTACAGAGACTCGGGAGAGCAGCCCCGAGTCTGTGATCGTGCTGTGTCCCGCTGGGGGTGCAGAGACTCGGGAGAGCAGCCCCGAGTTCATGATCGTGCTGTGTCCCGCTGCGGGTGCAGAGACTCGGGAGAGCAGCCCCGAGTTCATGATCGTGCTGTGTCCCGCTCCTACTGAGCTCTGTGCGGGCTTTCCTGGTCCATCCACGGAGGACACGGGAATTCTGATGAGCGCTGGGTGGAAACCTCGTAGTGTTCTGCACAGCAGGGCCTTCACAGGGTGATTTCTAACAGGTGTGAGTCCAAGAGGCCGGAAGTAGGAAGGCATGTGCCTTCAACCACAGCATTGCCGTGTAGGGCCACGGAGCCTCCCACCCGCCTGGAAGCCGCCCCCAGTGTCTCCCTCAGGGGATCCATAACAGATCCCTACACCCCCCCACATCAGGCCAGGTCCCCATCTCCCTACTCCTGGAGGTATCAGGCACTTGTGTCAGGGGTTCTGATTTCTGCTGGCACCTAGGACCACAGCCCCCACTGACAGGGGTCACAGTCTGCGTGTACCTGAACCTCACAGGGAGGAGCAGAGTGACCTGGAGCCAGAGGCAGCACCTGCTGGCAGTGCACAGCCACCTGGACGCAGAGTGACGCGCTGGGGAGAGGGTCACTGATGGCAGAATGGGGGGTCCTCTAGGGCCAGTTTGGGGGGCATCCTGGATGCAGGAGGACATGAAGGAGGGGTTACCGATGGCGGAATGGGGGGCTCCTCTGGGGCCACTGTGGGGGCATCCTGGATGCAGGGTGACATGCTGGGGAGAGGGTCACTGATGGCAGAATGGGGGGTCCTCTAGGGCCAATATCAGGGGTATCCTGGATGCAGGGTGACATACTGGGGAGAGGGTCACCAATGGCAGGATGGTGGGGGGGTCCTTGAGGGCCAGCGTTTGGGGCTTCCTGGACACAGGGTGATGTACTGGGGAGAGGGTCACCGATGGCAGGATGGTGGGGGTCCTCAAGGGCCAGCGTTTGGGGCTTCCTGGACACAGGGTGATGTACTGGGGAGAGGGTCACCGATGGCAGGATGGTGGGGGTCCTCAAGGGCCAGCGTTTGGGGCTTCCTGGACACAGGGTGATGTACTGGGGAGAGGGTCACTGATGGCGGAATGGGGGGTCCTCTAGGGCCAATATCAGGGGCATCCTGGATGCAGGATGACGTACTGGGGAGAGGTCACCGGTGGCAGGATAGTGGGGGGTCCTTGAGGGCCAGCGTTCGGGGCTTCCTGGACACAGGGTGACATGCTGGGGAGAGGGTCACTGCTGGCGGAATGGTGGGGGTCCTCTAGGCCCAGTGTGGGAGGCACCCTGGACGCAGGGTGACAGGCTGGGGAGAGGGTCACTGATGGCGGAATGGTGGGGGTCCTCGAGGGCCAATATCAGGGGCATCCTGGATGCAGGGTGACGTACTGGGGAGAGGGTCACCAATGGCAGGATGGTGGGGGTCCTCGAGGGCCAGCGTTCAGGGCTTCCTGGAGTGCAGCACCCAGCATGGGAGGGCCAGCATCCGGGGCTTCCTGGAGTGCAGCACCCAGCGTGGGAGGACCAGCGGCTGGGGTCTGCATTAGTGCTTTCAGCATGTGTTTGTTTTGTGTGGAGTAAAAGGCATGTGTGATCCAGATAAACTCCCATAACTGGTTCATTTTCTTCTTTTTCTTATAATCGGTTGTCCGTACAGTGTTTGTTGAGAAGGTGCTGCAGAGACTTTTTCCTAACGTTCCAAGTGGCCAAGAAAAGAAGGAACCCCAGACGCTGGCCATCCAAACACCGCCCAAGGACGTGACCTCTGAGAAGGCAAGACAGAAGCCTGTTCAGCCTTCGACAGGTGAGGGTGTTAGCAGCTGTGGACGGGTCTCAGGGGGCGGAAGTGAGTCACCCATCGTCACCCTCACTCGCCCTGGAGAGTGCGTCCTCTGGGCCTTGGGCATCTGTCTGCAGAGGTTCTGCAGCAGGAGGGCAGAGCAGGCACCACTCCTTACACAAGCTCCGCCAAAGCCCCTGTGGACTCCCCAGAAGGCCAGGTCAGGGTGCTGCTTTTGGGGGGTCACTGACTCACATGCTCTGAAGATGGCAGTTGGCCTGTGACGGGGGCTCAGCCCAGCTTTCCTGTCCTCTGAGGAAAGCAGGTACCTCCCCCACCGCGACACGTGACCCCAGTCCCTGTAGCAGCCCCGCATGGCCTCCTTGGCCCCGTTGCCTTGTGTCCACTCAGGGACAGGCTTCTAATATCTTGGCCCATGGTCTTAGGCCATCGTCTGTCCCGTGACAGAGCACATAACCTCTCGTGGCCACAGGATCGTCGGCCATGAGAGTCCCCTCAAGTCCGGCTCCCCCAGTGCAGCTCCGCTCTCCTGTGAGACTGAGAGAGGCCCCAGGGAGAGACGGGAATAGACCACCTGGGTGCAGCACATATAGACAGTCCATGAGCTTCCCGGTAAACACCTAAGTCCACAAAGCCTGAGAGAGGCCAGGAGGGTCCATTCAGCTCCCAGTAAACACCTAAGTCCATAAAGCCAGACGTGGGGTCCTGAGTGCCATTTCTGGGGGTCTCTTTCGTCTCTCTTCAGCAGTCGTCTCTCACTGGGCAGTTGAGTTCCTGAGAGTGGCCCGGTCTTCAGTTTTCACGTACCTTACAACAGCCCCAGTGGGATCTCAGCCGGCAGCCCCCATCATCCCACAGATCAGCTTCCAGCCCCAGAGCTTAGATCTCCGTTCACTGTGAACTCATTTTGCCTCAGACGTCATGTTCCACATGGTGATTCCATTTCCAGGCCAGCTCAGAAGCCCGTCTGACCTGTGATGTGACGGGTGCCATGGACCCCATTCTGGTCCAGGATAGAAGACAAGTGAGAAGGAAAGTTTCCTTCACATCTTCTAGATACGGGGTCATGCCAGGCACACTCTTCCTGTGGGACAAATCCTTGTTTTCCGTGTTCCCTTTCTGCATTTTTTCCCAGATGGCTTAATGTTTTCAAATGGTACAAGCTCCTGGTGTAGTGGGATAAGTTCTGATGAAGGAGTAAATGCCTGCTGTTGGGCATAGTTTTACCTTTTGAAGAATGAACCTGTTTCAGGCTGGGTTGCCCCCACCACAGCCGCCACCAGCAAATTCTTGTTCAAGCCCTAACTAACCCCCAGCACTTCCGAATGTGATTGTATTTGGAGATCGGGTCCTAAAGGTGATTAAGGGTAAAATGAAGCCGTCCGGGTGCCCCTAATCCGGTGTCACTGGTGTCCACATTGGAAGAAGAGATCAGGACACATGTACATGCAGAGGCCTGACCCTGTGACAGCAGAGGAAGCAGCGTCCACAAGCCGCGGACAGAAACCAGCCCTATTGAGACCATGACCTTAGACTTCCAGCCTTCAGGACTGTGAGAGAACAAATGTCTGTTGTCTAATGCACCCGGTCTGTGGGGCTCTGTAGTGGCAGCCCTAGAAAGCTAATACACTAACCATTGTGCCTGTTAGAAATTGTCTGGCTTTTTCAATCAACTTAACAAAGTTTTTAAAGAAAAAGCAGTTATGAAAATCTGAAAGAAACAACAAAAAAGACTTCCGGAACTAATAAAGGTTTGTAATAGGTTGTGCTTTACAAGGTCAACACACAGAAGTCAACTGCTTTCCTCTATATCAGGAAAGAAGAAGGGGAATTTGCAGTTTAAAACACCCGGCACAATAGTGCTGGGACCACCTGGACATCCACATGCATAAAAATAGAGACACAGACCTTAGACCTGTCACAAAAATGTCTTATTAAAGATGGGTCTTAGACCTAAGTGTTAAATGCAAAACTCTAAAACTCCTGGAAGATGACATGGGAGGCAGTCTAGGTGGCCTTGGGTTCAGCAGTGACTTTCGATGCAACACCAAAGGCTTGATCAATCAGAGAAAGAATTCATCAGCAGATGTCCCGTCCATAACATGGACATCATTAACATTAAAACCTGCTCTGTGAAAGACACTGGTCAAGAGAAGGAAAAGACACGCCACAGACTTACAGAAAATATTTTCAAAAGACGTATTTGACAATGAACTATTATTCAAAATGTTCAAAGAATTCTTAAAACTTAATAAGAAAATGGGCCAAAGGGCCGGGTGCGGTGGCTCAAGCCTGTAATCCCAGCACTTTGGGAGGCCAAGGCGGGTGGATCATGAGGTCAAGAGATCAAGACCATCCTGGTCAACATGGTGAAACCCCGTCTCTACTAAAAATACAAAAAAAAAAATTAGCTGGGCATGGTGGTGTGTGCCTGTAATCCCAGCTACTCAGGAGGCTGAGGCGGGAGAATTGCTTGAACCCAGGAGGCAGAGGTTGCAGTGAGCCAGGATCGCGCCATTGCACTCCAGCCTGGGTAATGAGCAAAACTCTGTCTTAAAAAAAAAAAAAGAAAATGGGCCAAAGATGTGGACCTCACCAAGGAAAATATGTAGATGGCAAATAATCATGTGAAAAGATGTTTCACATCATATGTCATCAGGGAAATGCAAATTAAGAGAGTGAGACGCCACCGCACACCTGCTAGAGTGGACACAATCCAGCACACTGAGAGCACCAGACGCTGGAGGAACAGGAACTCTCGTCGCTGCGTTTCATCCACAGCTGAACATACTCTTTACCTGTATGACCCAGCAGTTGTGTACCTCGACATTTATCCAAATAAACGGAAAACGTCCGTAAACCGCATGTGGCTGTTACAGCAGCTTTATTCATAACTGCCAGCACTTGGAAGCAATGAAGACGTCCTTGAGCAAGTGAAAGCATCAGGAAATTATTCAGGCCCAAAAAGAAATGAACTATCAAGCCATGAAAACACATGAAGGAACCGTAAACGCTTATTACTAAGTGAAAGAAGCCACTCTGGAAAGGCTACACACTGTGATTCCAACTTTGTAACACTGTGGGAAAGCAAAACTGAGGAGGCCCCAACAAGATGAGTGATTGGCGGGCCTGGGAGGAATAGGTGGGGCCCAGACAGGTGGTTTCACTGTCTGACGGTTGACTTCTCTAGGTCACCGTTGACTTCTGTAGGATGCCGTTGACTTCTGTAGGACACCGTTGACTTCTGTAGGACACCGTTGACTTCTATAGGTCACTGTTGACTTCTGTAGGACGCCGTTGACTTCTGTAGGACACCGTTGACTTCTGTAGGATGCTATTGACTTCTGTAGGATGCTGTTGACTTCTGTAGGATGCCGTTGACTTCTTTAGGACACCGTTGACTTCTCTAGGACACCGTTGACTTCTGTAGGTCACCGTTGACTTCTGTAGGACGCCGTTGACTTCTGTAGGACACCGTTGACTTCTGTGGGATGCTGTTGACTTCTGTAGGATGCTGTTGACTTCTGTAGGACGCCGTTGACTTCTTTAGGACACCGTTGACTTCTCTAGGACACCGTTGACTTCTGTAGGTCACCGTTGACTTCTGTAGGACGCCATTGACTTCTGTAGGACACCGTTGACTTCTGTAGGACGCTGTTGACTTCTGTAGGATGCTGTTGACTTCTGTAGGATGCTGTTGACTTCTGTAGGATGCCGTTGACTTCTGTAGGACACCATTGACTTCTCTAGGACACTGTTGAATTCTGTAGGTCACCGTTGACTTCTCTAGGACACTGTTGACTTCTGTAGGACACCGTTGACTTCTCTAGGACACTGTTGACTTCTGTAGGATGCTGTTGACTTCTCTAGGACACTGTTGACTTCTGTAGGTCACCGTTGACTTCTGTAGGACGGTGAAACCACCCTGCGTGATGATGCTGTGATGGTGGGCGCAGCTCATTCCACATTAGCTCCAACTAATAGGATGTACCAGAGCGGACTCCAGTGTGAACTGCAGACTGGGTGGTGACAGTGTGTTGCATAGGCGTGTTGATTGTAATACCGTACGGCTCCGACGGGGATGATAATGGGGAGGATGCGTGACGCCGTTATGCCTTACAAGAATCAGGCCGCCGCTAGTATTTCCTGTTTTTCTCTGAATTTTACTGAACCAACATTTTTAAGCTTTTTTAAAATTCTGTCTTTATTTTATTTTTGCTTTTTCTTTGGTCTAACCTAACGAAAGTTTTAATGGTGATTGTTCACCAGTAACATATTTGCTGGTCAGAAGAGGAAATTAAGTGGAAGCAGTTGAAGCTTTATGCATAGATGGATGAAGGATCATTTCTAAGTGAGAAAATAGTATCTGTAAATTCCAGGCCAGTTTCATTCCAGAAGATACATATTTTCTTGCCTAAAGTGATTGACTTTGCACTTTTAAAATCACTGTTTAAAAATAAGCACTTCGAGACCTCCTTTTCTCCCTGAAATTGTCAGGAGACAATTCTGTGCGTTGCTATTCATGTTTTATTTTACTGAGTTATGCACTCATACAGCAGTGGCATATGGGAAGCTTTATGTCAGGATGATTATTTCAGGTTGGTGTTGAAAGACTTCTTATTTTAAGTGGCTGGGTGCTTTGCGATTCTGACAAAGCACTTGGCCTTTGAAGCTGTTGGTGATCCTTTGGGTGATGTCTTTTCACAAAGCTTCAGCATTCAGCTACTGCATTTCAGTGGCATTTGTAAGATACTGTTTAATACGAAGATGTTGAATTAAAAGTCAAAATACTGATGTGAGTTGACCTAGTCTCAAAGGTTAAAAGATGATTTTTTTCAGGGAGTGAATGAGAAGGTTGGGTGCATGAACCTTTTGCTGAACATTGGAAGCCGTGCCCGGGTGGAGTTTCCAGTGCAAAGTAATGCGTGGGCACACCCCAGAGAAACAAGCTGTAGCCCGTGAGGGGTGACCCCACCAGGGCGAGGGTACAGGCACTGCCCCTG